AAACTAGTACAAATGACAAAAGCACATTAAATTACTAAAACATACTAACATTTACATGAAAATGTAAATGAAGATAATTCAAAATATTAAAAAAATGATAATATTATATAAATGATACTAAATGATACTGTATAAATATTATATAAATGATACTGTTTTTTTCCTTAAAATACTACAATTTTAATGTCATAATATGGTTTTATTCTTGTAATTTTACTTTTGAATTTTTACTTTATTAATTCAACTATATATCCATGCATATTAGATATCTAACAACTAAAGGCCTATCATACGATTTTTCTCTAAATATTTATTGTCAAATTTTACATTTGTTTATTTTTAATGTGGGCACTAAAACACTGTTGTACAGTGTAGTACTCTTAGTACCATTCACCATGTTTTACCATACTTAAATCCATTCAGCAGAAACTGTGGAATAAAAAGTCTTGGCCTGATAATATTTCAGTGCCAGTGATTTGTGATTCGGGTCAAAATTAGATGATAGAATTGAGCTTCAAGTGTAACGCTAAAATCACAAAACAAAACCTCTATCTGTCAAGGGTAATACACAGAGTTCATCTCGCCATTATCAAGAGTAAATCCATAGATGTAGATTCTTGCCCGCGTAACTTATCTGAAGCGTTTGTAGACATTCAGATAACGATGCTAATGGCTAACGATCGCCAATCACACTTAAAGTTGTTTGCAATTGAAAGCTAATCATAAAGTAATGTGTAGTAACAGATAAAGAACAAAAAGCAAAGAGATAAAAGCAAATTGCAGCCACGACACACAAGCAAAGTGTCGAAATCGGAGCAGAATGGCCGGAATTCGGCAAACGGCCTGAATGCATGACAAAAGCTAGTGTGGCTAAAGGTAAAGTGCCATCCTTTCTCTCCCCTTTAAAAGCACGAGCCCGTTGCCGCGTTGCGCCGTGTCCACAGATATCAGCGGCTTTTATAGCCTGATACAGTCTGAAAGCCTCTTAAGGCTCCTAATGAGGTTGCCGTTTCAAAGAGAGCCTCTCGCCGAAGCACCAGAAGTGAGGCTTTTGATTTCTGTCTCGTGGAATGAAAGGACAGCGGGCAAAAGAAATAACCCTTAAATATTAGGGTCATTGCACGGGCCCACTTCCTCCTCTCCACCAGATTTGTAAAATATCAGAGCACTCAGGACTGATTGGAAGGTTTTGCACTTTTGAGCGAAATCTAAATGAGCATGTTTGGTGACAACAACAAGCGAACGCGTTGAGTGAGCGGGTAAGAGCTGCCGCGCATTGTCACAAATCATGGAAAATAAATTCCTACATGTGCATCGCCGCGTCAATGTGTTTTCAAAGGGTGTCCGCACACACATGCGCTTGCTTTATATGTGTATTGATTAGAGCTGGGCCTCACATCTTCCACATGACTTACAACCCGTCAGTGCCAAACTGCTTGGCTCACAAGAAAAACCTGCCCCTATTATCTTGCATTTAATTAAGACATAGCTGCAGTTTTATGCACCATTATTTGGCCCCGGCCAGGGGTCTCCAAGGCGTAAATATTGAACCGTCCCAGCCCTCGAATGTTAATCAATCCCAACCGACTTCCAAATTATTTGGTCTGTTTCAGGAAATGAATATTTGCACCTGTTATGAGCCTTTGCGCATGCATTACTGATCTCCCCTCTCTTCGCACAAGGGTAGACATATCGATTCAGATCAAGGAAACAAGATGGGCCGGCTTAATTAGAGCTTACCTATGTGGGAACTGCCTTTTTTGCTCCTTTACAGCGAGAGTAAAGGGGAAACGGCTGCGTGCCGTGACTGTATGCAGTGTTGTTCAGAGGTGTTTGGAAAAGACCCCACAGCCAAGCCTCAGGGACTTGAGATGCATCCCATCTCGTAGTCAAGTGTTGATGCCATGAGCGGAAAAATTTTATACCAGTGGCCTCTACATTTTGATGATAACAAGGAAGTGTCGAAATGCGAATTATGTCGATAATTTTAATTTAAAAATAGCTGATGAAAATGCGACAAGGTCAGTTTGCATATTTTGGTTACATTTGATAATATATAAAGTTTTTGAGTATTAGGTGTAATTTCTCGTCAACTAATCCTATTTTGCCCACTATCTGGCATTTAAGGCACACATTATCAAAATTCACGGTAAAAAAGGTCCATTGTCAATAGTGTCGAAATGGACAAAGCACAGAAGTCACTTTCAAAATTTGCGAAATCGGCATTGGGAATTCCTTCATCCTTACGTGAAATTCCTGATTGTGTGGATTCCGATTGAAACGAATGGATTTTGTCCAAAGATGTTGGTCAAAAATTGCCATGCAGTGGTACTTGGTGGCTGCATAAAAGTAAAACTGGCTGGAATTAATCAATATGACATGAAATATTGACTAAATTTAAAAGAGTTATTAAAAAAGTCTGAAACAAAATATCTGGGTAAAGATTAATACTGTTCGTCCACCCAAAATCACTCATAGTTTACCCAAAAAATAATATTCATATTCTTATTCATATTCTCATATTCTTCAAAACGTGACTTCCTTTCTTTTGTGACCACAAAAGAAGATATTTTGATGTTTTAACGGTCCATACAATAAAAGTGAATGGTGTCTAAAGCCTGTTATACTTTAAGTCCGCTAGGGTTCGCGTGACGTAAAAATCATCATCAGAGGGTGTACGCGGAGGCTCAGAGCGGACATCCGTGTGCCTCTCATTTTTTGTGACTGCGCGGACAAGGTCAGTAGGCTACAAAAGCACCAACTGCGCATGCGCAGGCTGTGTGAAGAAGTCCGTCGATACCCGCACCTCTACAATCAGTGTTGCCAAGTCCGCGGTTTTCCCGCTGTTGCCACAGGTTGTTTTTCATGTCCACGGGTTGAAGCGACTCCAATAACATGATATTTATCCTCTGGAATGCGAATTTTAGCAGGGGAACCCCGCCAAAACGTGTATTTTACCCCCCGGAATGCGATTTTTAACTGGAGACCCCCTCGAAACGCGATTGGGCTAGTTTTGAGTAGTGATTGGGAGAGTTTTCTAGTGAAAACCTGGCAACCCTGTATACAATCCGTCGATAAAACAATATAAAGACAGAGAGATGTGCAATAATTCGTGGAGGGAAATTGCCCATAGTTTGGGCAATTGTTTGTTTACTGTTTACATGTTTATTTTCTTTTCAAGCCGATCTACTGCGCATGTGTGGAACACGTCTGCCGAGCGGACCACCAGCATACACTTTCGGTAGTATAAATACAAGCAGTCCGCGTCTGCGCTGTCTGTGTACGCATCCGAATTGTGCATGCGGAAAGTATAACACAGGCTTAAAACAACAATCTGGGAACCTATTGACTTTCATTGTATGGGCAAAAAAACACTTGAGCGTTTTTCCAAAATATCCTCTTTTGTGTTCTGCAGAATAAAGAAAGTCTTTAGAAAGTCTCAGTTTAGAAAACATGAAAGTGAGTAAACAATGACAGAAATTTCTCTCTTTTTTTTGGTAACCCTTCTCTCTTTTTGACCTAAATTTTTCCTATGACCTTGGTTGACTGCTAGAGTTCATGAGTCGGTTCTTTGATTACTATATCAATTTCTAGCAATTTTTCACTGGCTACCACCATTTTAGCATGGCATTTCTAGTTAAAAACAGTTAGTAAAACATGTCTCAAGACGTTCTTGAGGTGTTTATGGAGGGTCGAGACAATCACAGAGGCGGCTCCAACTGAAATGTTGGCATCTTCTCAGAACTGTCCACTTTAATCGTTTCTACCCCCTTTAAACTCCACAAGAACATCGTTCACCCTTCAGCGCCTTTCCTGTTGTCGAGGAAATCAATGTCTTGGTCGTAATTATTTAACCATTGATAAAAGCCTTCAGCTCCTGATAGAGCCAAAGCACTTATTCAACACACTGAGACTGACAGCGGGAAAGATAGAGACGCTTCGACTGGCAGAAAAGCGTGAGAAGTGATCGGCTGACTGCCATCGGTCCTCTCAACAAGCCGGAGGGATCGAGGAGACAAGTGACTGCTCCCGGGTCAACTCATGTCTCCCCTCCTCTTTATTGACACTTATCTTTACAAAGAGCCCCCTGGGCTCCCCCGACAATGACAAATTGTGATGGTTTGGCTGTGTTGAGAGCGAACAGACACTAACTTAAAGCGGTGGGGAGTGGAACGGCGTGGGTAAATGCGATTTTGATTTCCGTTAACGGGCTTCATTTGTAAATGCAATACGGAGACACTGCATTTAACGAGTGTAAGAGGGCTGATGCACTGGATTTGATGTTTTAATGTCATGGCCTCCAAATGTTGACCTTGTGTGTGTGGCCTTGGGTTTACCAGCACATTTACCTGATAACTGATTCTGTTTTAGGATTCATTCAAAAAAGAATGACAGACAGACTTCATAAACAATGTTTGGTATGAACATATATATTATATATAT